GTACATAAACTTCTGGTATTGACTGTATAGCCGATACATCCTTAAATGTGCTTCTATAAAATACCAATTAATCTCACTGTATATAACTGCAACTCAAAACAAGCTCTTCTCATTTTTAATTTTTTTAATAATGAAACCATTAAAAAAAAACTTTTATTGATTACATAAAATACGTTGATTTCAATGTAAAGTATAAAGCTTCGACATTAGTCAATGTTGCGGTATGGAAAGGTTGTTCCATGTGGCGAGCTTTTCTCAAAGAAGAAGCGCGCGAGTTCTGGGCGGAGTGCGGTGGGCGAACACGCGGCACAGTGAAACACACAACAAATTATCTCGAAGCGTGCCTCAATAGGCGGACGTTAGACGCATGTCGTACGATCGCTTAAAGGTAGCACGCCAGATCCCCTCGCACAATGCTGGTCTGACTAATACAGCCCGGGGCTCCTTTCTTCGTTGCTTAATCGTTGCTTCCGCCTCCCCGTGCGCGCGACTCATCCGACTCGTGATACGATGTTTATCGCACCACCCTTCTCTCTGAGAGCATCATCGTTTTCGAATGATTCCGATCACGCGAACGGTTTATCAATAGCAATAGCAATCTTGAAGTGAGTATAGAAAACGTGTTTTTCATTCGCTTTCAGCAATGTTTATTTTTCTAAGCATTCATCATATTAGACAGCAGCTGTAAGAGTTATCTATGTCTAATTATATCGTACGAACACCTAATTAAATAATAATACTGTAGAGCTAACGTTATTCGTCAAACCAAATACATAATTAGATTCACGTCACACTAATTGTAAGTGCCATAATTTAATCCATGTAGAACTAATTAATTACATATATTATTCAATGTAATTCAATTTCCATGCAACATAATTTATTATGAATGTCGCTGTTCGCACAGTTTCTTCGCGAGTTGAATTTATTTCAATTAAGGTTTCGACTTTGCAAAATAAGAATGTGAGAAACGGGACGGTAATACCGATAATAAATAATCGCTAACATCTTTTCAGTTGCGATTGTCCTTCGGAAAGGAATTTTAATGCATCCATTTAATCTCTGTTGTATAACATTACTATATTTATCTGAAGTGTCGCTCGTAGAATTTTTTCTGTCTCTCATTTCATATGCAAGTATCACTCTAGCAGAGCAATAATTATTACCTACTGCATGGAACTAAGTAAACAGCAAAAAGAGGTATGCAGGGTTTTTCGAATCTGATTTAAATCCGATCCGATTGAAAACGACGACGTAGAGAAAGTAGGACGGTATTGAATTTTTCTGACGTATTGTGATTGCCAGCAGCTACGACGGGTATCGTGTGAATCGAGACCAGAGGGTACGCAATAGAAATGGACAAAAGTGCGCGTTGAATTGAAACCGGCTGTTTAAATTGTTCCCCGTGGCGGAGCTTAAAAAGTAAATGATGGCCGCGGCGAGGACGCAGCCGGTTTCCCTTGACACTGTGAACTTTAAGAATATTTTCTCGTGTTTACTTGACGCCACAGCTTAATCCTTTCCTCGGCGATGAAATTATCGGTGATCGGCTTCATTAACCTCGAAAGCCCGAGGGAGACGTTCTAACTGATTAAATTATTCGAGTTTCCCAGAGCTCAAACTAGTTTAGCAAATATTTAATATGTCTTCGCGTATTACTCTCACGTTGTTGCCACTCGAGCATTGAGATTAAAAATATAGAAAATTACTTTCTAAGTTAATCAATGATTCTAATCTAAGAAAATGTGCGCAAAGAATCAGGTCGCGTCTCCCTACCAAATTGTTCCGTCGGTTCTAACGAAGGAGGAATTATATTATACGCGTTCTACTTTCCTGGAACGCAAGGAAGCAGGAACCTACATACATATAAAGGACACGAACGATCCCAATTAGGGACTATCGGTGGAAATCGTGTATTCGTGAGACGAGACGAGGGCCTTTAACCGTGTATGTTCGGTTACGGGACAGGGATGGGAGAGAGAACGACGAAGGAAACTGGCTCCGGGATTTTTGTCACGGCTGTGAAAGGTCAATACGAGAATTTCACTCGTGCATCGTCTTCACACGAGCTCTCTATGCACCGACCGCATCATGCAACGCGCCGCGCCGCCGCCGCCGCCGCCGCCGTTCGCTCGAGAGTTTCAGCGCGGCGTATATATATGTATATATATTTCTGGACGCGAGCGAATGGTTCGTTCGTTTGCATCTGACCCCTTTTCACCGCGATCGTAACATCATCCGCACTACCGTTCTTTGCCGAGTATCGACGGCATTCGAAAGAAGTTGACTACGTCTAAACCGACGTCAAATTAACGTAAAATTGCCAGTCACTGGGTTCTTCATCTCATTTTTACGCACACCTTCTAATCAAGATTTATACCCTGTTACTCGTACTTAATGAAGTGCGCAACTTTGAAATTCTTAACATTTAACCATTCCTGTGGGAAAACGAATTTGACGATCGTTTTTACCATGATCCATTAGCTTGGCGCAAAACTAGGGAGAAATTCGAAAGGCTAACTGGACAAGACGTTGCCTCCCTGCTTTTTTATCATTTTCCCCAATGATAAATTGTATAATATTATAGTTAATGACAGAAGATAAGTCAGATATTACTCTATGGAGAGATTATCGGTGCTGGTCCCGAGTGGCAAAGGTAAAACGTTTAGAGGTTTCGAGCGGTGCGCGTGAAAGTCGTGAACCCTCACCTGTAATCCGATTCTTCGCGCATCTGTTCGCCAGAATCGGCGGAATAAGAAAATAAAGAAGCTGCCGCGACTCGCTGCCGTACATATATAAAACGAAGATGAATTGCGCGGGTTAATTCGCCTACTATCTGCGGATTAACAAAAAACGGTGTAACTGTAGACGTTCCCGGTTAGATTTATAGATCCTGAACAACGGGAGAACGGTACCGTACACGAACTGTTGTTAATGTCGAGGATTCTACAAGCGAAACATTGTACACAGGTCTTACATACATATATACATACATATCTCGCCGCCGCGTCGCGCCGAGACAGCCGCGGTGAAAGCTCTGTTAATTGCTTTTCGCACGAGTTTGCCAAATTCATCAACCGTTTCACGGTACTCTCTTAATTGATTTTTTATGCCTCTTATTATCTCCGTTTCGTAATGCCTGCACGACAAATTACAGAATGCTATACATAGAACGGTTGTAAAAAAAAAAAGTGTTTATGTACCCTTTAAGCGTTTACAACTACTTATTAAAAAGTACTTCATAGAAAGACACGTGTACACTTAATTTAATAGTATTTTATAACATCTGCTAATAACAGTTTTTCTCCTACACGTAGTGCAGGATGTAATTTTCGTTCTCTACTGACGGATGTTACCGCTGAAGAGAGTCGCCGAAAAACATCCATGCGCTGTTCCCGAAAGAGTTACGCTACATTATTGAGAGTTTATTTCATTGCGACTATCATGTTTCTTGGAAACGCTGGAATCATCTCCATTAAAGTCACCTTATCCGTAAGGATTTCGCTCATAAAACCGGGCCGCGGGAACGGATCGCAAAACGTTGCGACGCGCCGCTGCGAGTCGTAACGCAGCTCGAGCGATCCGGTCGATTTGCTCGATTTCACGCGTAGACGAGCGCAATTAGCGCATGGATGGTGCCCGATCGATCCCATGACTGCTCGGTAATTGACTTCCCTAAATGAGCCAACGAATACGTCACGAGAACGCCATTCTCCTTTCCCGTGCGCGTGCACCTGTTGCGTCCGTTAATGAAGAAGTAAATGATAGCTATATGGGTTCATCTAGGCCTGCATCGTCGATCGAGTTTACTTCCACTAGTTTCCTGATTACGTTAGGTACAAATTATTAAACTTATTCCTTAATTATTCTTCCGTCACTATTAGTAGAACTTGATCTACGATTTCTTCCGTGTCTATTAGTAGAACTTGATCTACGATTAATTAATATGCATAATAATAATGATGTAAAAAATGCATCGATTCTTCGTATATTCCTGAAATATATTGAATATCGGTGCGCGGCGCTTCTCACCTGGATCTATCGTGTACCCTCCTCTCAACCGGTGTCCGTTTAAATCTGGGACACCTTACGCTTCCACGCGAGTAACAGGCGACTATTTTTCAACCTTAACCACAGGGTACAGCAATCACGCGCGGTTGTACGGCTGCATATTTTAACCCGACCGACCGGACCGAGCGAACGTGCACGAACGACTCGGGACGCACACAAGCACCGCGGAATCTTTGATGATTAATGATCGAGCTTTCTCGTTCTCGCGCGCGGACAACGAACGTTTATGGATATTTATGCGACTGCAGCGTGACGTTCGTGGCCGTACGTAACGATCGATCCTCCCCCTGACTTTCTTGCATCCGACAACGGTGTGCGGCGCCGATCGATCCCCGGCCTATCCGGTTTCCAATTGTTGCATCGATGGGAACGCGAAGATTTTCACTACGAGCTACTCACGGTAGGCTAGTCGAGAACAAGAGATCAATAAAGAAAGTAATTATTATATAAACGTGTAATAGAATATTACATTGACAGAATTATAGAATCAAAAGATATAATCGACTCGATGTAATTATTTTCTCAGCCCCTCGCGACTCTATGTCCTCCATTGATAAAATTATGATTTTGCACATGTTATCAAGTTACTAGACTCATCCTGTACACATATGTGCACGATGCGTACGTACCAGAGAATTGCTTGATCATGCGATTCCCCCGGTTCGCGGTAGAGCCGCGTTGTGTAACGGTAAAGAGTCAGTGCGTCGACTAAAAGTCGCGGGTAGTGCATACATACGCGTACGTGTACGTACGTAACGCGTGTCGCGGTGCGGCGTGAGTTTTCGTTTCACGGTCAGAAGGATAATCCTTCTCTCTGTCACTTCTCATCCGTCTTTCTGTCCCCCCGGCTAATTGAGTTGCTCCGGCCCCGGCCACGGATCTCTGTCACGTTTCATTTTCTCCCGTCTCCGTTTCACCGTCACCCGACCATACGAAGAAAGTGTCGTACGTCCAGCCAGGGATACCCACGGTATACCTACCCTTCAACCGTGGCCTGAAATTGGATTTCGTCATCTCCTGCCACCCATCTGTGCCAAGAATCCGAACCTGTTGCCAAAGATTCGCTTTGGTACTCAACCTAGACTCCCATTCCAGGACTCGTCGACCACTCGAGATCCTTGAGAATGTTTCTACTACTTTATACAAAAAAATTTGCTCATCGAATCCTCAATTTAAAATTCGAAACACTTTTGTATCAGAGATTTGTCTTTAGAAATCGTCGAATTGGGTATAAGTACGTGTTGCTCGAATGACAGTCTTTATGTTTGTTCCATTGACGATTCCAGATGGAAGGATACGAATGATAGTGATAGTTTCTGGAGAGGAGATATATGAAACGTCTGTGGATCGTATAATCCGACGGTGAACGCGACTGCGGAAAATAATCCGACACTTATGCTTTCGCGAACCGTGGGCGGATTAATCGTTTGTGTTTTAACTTCCATTCACGGAATGCCTTTTGTGACGGCGTTACTGCGCGTTGGTCATTGTTAGGTCGGCCGCGAGATTATTCCTTTGGAAAGTCGCTTGAATTATGACCGGCGATGGCTCTTCTTCGTTCTACGTTATTGGGACTACGGATAGAAAGAGCGAACGAGACAAGTGGAATATCTCTCGTGGATGGCAATATGGAAACTGACGACCTTTACAGCTGAACAAGGAATGCAGTTCCTTTTCATAAAACTCGTTAGTCACACGAGTGCTTATAATCATTTTATCGTGTCCCAATATTTGTAAACAAGCAAGAGAACGAGATGAACTCTATTTAATATTCGATTAAATGTAGCATTCATAAATTATTCGGATCTCTTCGAGTTTGACTTAAATTCATAATTAATGTTTCAGCGGTTTGCAAGGAGGGTTGTCACCCCGTCCACGGCCACTGCAACGTGAGCGGCGAGTGCAAGTGTCGACACGGCTGGCGCGGTGAGCTTTGCGATCAGTGCACGCCTTACCCCGGCTGCAAGCACGGTTACTGCAACGGTTCCAGCTGGCAATGTATCTGCGACACGAACTGGGGTGGTATCCTCTGTGACCAGGATTTAAATTACTGCGGCACGCACGAACCTTGCCAGAACGGGGGCACTTGCGAGAACACGGCGCCGGATCAGTACAAATGCACGTGCCCGGAAGGATTCTCCGGGCCGACCTGCGAGAAGGTCGACAACCCCTGCGCCTCGAATCCGTGCGCGAACGGGGCTACCTGCAGGCAACTCGGCGAGAGCGCGCACTGCGTGTGCGCTGCCGGATTCACCGGGCCTTATTGCGCCACGGACATCGACGAATGCGCCTCCCGACCGTGTCAGAACGGTGGCATCTGCGTCGACGGGAAGAACAGCTTCGTTTGCAAATGTCCGCCCGCCTGGCAGGGCGAAATCTGTCAATTCGACGTCGACGAGTGCGGGCTGAAGGAGTCACCATGCAAGAATTCGTTCTCCTGCGTGAACCTCGCCGGTGATTACAGGTAAACTGTGATAAAAAATTTTCATCGAGTCTACAAGTTTATATTATTAAAAACGTTCACTTTGAGGAACTTTATAATTGTGTGAACTTTAATCTAGATTAGAAATAAATAAATGTTTCAATTCAGATGTCGGTGCAGAAGCGGTTTCACCGGGAAGAACTGCACGAAGAACATCAACGACTGCGTTGGTCAATGCCAGCACGGTGCACTGTGCATCGACCTGGTGGATGACTACCATTGCAGCTGCACCGCTGGTTACTCCGGCAAGGATTGCGACGTGGACATCGACGAGTGCGCTTCGAAACCCTGCCAGAACGGCGGCGAGTGCCGGGATCTGGTAAACGCATATGAGTGTGTCTGCCCCGTCGGTTTCACCGGGTACCAGTGCGAGATCGACAGGGATCACTGCAGTCCGAACCCGTGCCGGAACTCCGCACCCTGTTTCAACACACAGACCGATTATTACTGTCATTGCCCGGAACAATGGCAGGGGAAGAACTGTTCCGAGCCGGCATCGCATAATCCACAATTGAGCGTCACGGATGATGAGGAAGCTGGCTGTGGCAGCGAAGGTACGCCGTGTGGCGGCAGAGGCAAATGCAGCGGAGGCAGATGCATCTGCGATCCCGGCTACACTGGAATGCACTGTCACGAGAACATCAACGATTGCAGAGGCAACCCTTGTTTAAATGGTGGCACTTGTGTGGATCTGGTCAACTCGTTCCAATGTGTCTGTAGAGAGGGATGGACCGGAGACCTTTGCGATCAAGGTAAGCGATCGTTTCGTTTGGAGTAATTTCATAAGGAAATTTAATTACATAAGAATTTGAAAATAATCAGTTCAATTGTGAATTGTTCTTTAGATGTAGACGAATGCACGACGTCGCCCTGTCGGAACAACGGAACTTGCGTGGACGGAGTTGCAGACTTCACATGCATCTGCAGGGGTGGCTGGAAGGGTAAAACCTGTACGCTCAGAGCCGGTCACTGCGAGCCGGGGACCTGCCGTCACGGGGGAACCTGCCAAGACCGGGGCGACGGATTCACCTGTCACTGTCCTCCAGGATGGGAAGGAGCAGCGTGCCACATAGCATCTCCGGCGTGTGCGAGCAGCCCTTGCGAGAACGGCGCGACCTGCGTGAACACCGCCGATGGGAACTACAGATGCGTTTGTCGCGAGGGCTACGAGGGTCCCAACTGTCGCCGGGACGTCGACGACTGTAAACCGTTGCCTTGTCTGAACGGCGGTAAATGCGTCGACGGGATCAATTGGTTCAGGTGCGAGTGCGCATCGGGATTCACCGGCCCGGACTGTCGTATAAATGTGAACGAGTGTGCCAGCGATCCTTGCACAGGTGGTTCTACCTGCGTCGACGGTATAGCGAGCTATTCCTGCGTCTGTCCACCAGGAAGGACCGGGGTGCGTTGCGAGATACGCACTGCTGGTGGACCAGGATGCCCCGCAGCCAGTTGGGACGACGAGTGCAACGTTTGCGAGTGCCGCAATGGGAAAAACCAGTGCAGCAATATCTGGTGCGGTCCCGGTAACTGTTTGAACGGTACCTCGTGTCTAGCTCACGAAGTATGCGTCCCGAGTCCCAGCGAGAGCTGCCTGGTTCCGCCTTGTCCAGCTTGGGGAGAATGTCGACCCGTGGAAACCGGAAGAAGAGTAGGACCGCCAGCTTTGCCGGCACCGCCGTCCTGTTGGCCTGGACAAGCTACACCGGGCCCAACTTGCTCTAGATTGACAATTTTGTTAAGAAGAGACACCCTCGCTCCTGGCACGTCCGTTGAGATCCTCTGCAGACGCTTGAGGAAACTCCTAGCTGACCCGAGGAGGCCGCAATCGATCGTTTTGCTGTGCGATCTCAAACCTGGTGACAACGACACGATAGAAGTGACTATCTTCTCAGAGGCGGCTGCAGACGCGGCTAGAGATCTCGGCGAGGCTCTCAGCAGGCCCCTGGGCAGACCTCTCGCTTTGGCCTCCGTATTGGAAGTCAAGGTAGAGACGGCTCTGTTAAGTGAACCGAGCTCTGTGAATTCGAACAGCGCTGGGAACTATGTAGCTGTATTAGGCGGGGCTCTAGCAACCGTCTTGGTGCTCGCATTGTTCAGTGGGCTATGGTACCTTCGAATGGTCAGGCAAAGGTCTAGCCTGACCGCGACGACCAGCAGCGAGACCTCGTTGCATCGACATCGGAGCGACTTGGACGAAAAGTCGAATAATCTTCAAAACGAGGAGAACTTGAGGAGATACGCGAATCCTCTGAAGGACCAAGATCAAGGCGAACCGAGAGTGTCCGTGGTGAGACCTCTCTCTGGAGCGTCGTTGGGTGCTCTTGGTGCCGCCGAAGAAAGCTTGGAGATGGTGTCCGAAGAGGGTAGACATCGTTTACCACCGCTGTACAAACCTCCCAGCGCGGAGGCAAGGAACAACACAGCCAGTTTTACGTACGAGGAAGGACCACATAAACCTTACAGCAAACCCAGACTTCAAGAGCCGACGTATTCTCATCAGCAACCTGGCACCAGCCAAACCGCCGGACCCCATCAAGTGCTGACTGTTCATGTGTAAGAAAGACTTGTGTATGATCGTTGAAAGTTTCACCTAGCCTTGGTACTTGGGAATGAAGATGCCATTTGAGACGAGTCAACGGATGTCACGAAGGGAGGACATCGACGAAGAGAAGATAAAAGCCTTGGTGGGTACACTGTACTGTGGTCTCAGATGCTACGTGTCTTTGCAGGTAGTTTTAATGAACAAGCTTAAATTTTTCTTTATTAAGAACAAGATTCGTTTGCCTCTAGAGATGAAACTGTATAAAATCGCCCGCGATCTCTTAAGTGTTAGACGCGAGACCTTGAAGATATTGAACTTGATTTTTTCCTCCGTAGAATAATAGAAGCAAGAGAGACAGAAACGTAGGAAGATAGAGAGACGAAAGAAAAAATCGTTTGTTACTTTTCGAAAAAATTTTGATACGAATCGTTGATCTTTAAAAATCCTGCAGACGTAATCTATCATTAAAAAGACTCGCCCTCTGTCTTCCTGCATTGGACTCCTCGCTGTTCCACGACAATAATCTATAATTATACGCCGAGTTGTTTTATCGTTGTACATATGTACATAGCCCGTACTTATTAATTTCGCTAAGCCTGTATCATCTCCGACCGCCGACGTCCCTTATGGACAGCCTTAAGATCTAAGTATCGACGTTGTACCGCGTTTGAAATCGTAGGCATTCCCTAATTAATGTAAACAACGGCCGAGTAAGACGGAGCAGCCGATCGTAGGCACTATAATAGGACTATAATAAATAGCACGTAGGCGAATTTAAGAAAGAATCTGCGTGAACGCAGGCTTCGGACGTTCCGTCGGACGATATTATTGTGATACTCATCGGGTGAAAGAGTGTGAGAGAAAGATATTCCGCGTGGAATCGTGATCGAGCCCCGTGAGACACCCTCTTTGGAAAAATCATAATTTTGAACCTCGACCTCGCAACGGGAAACAACGCTGGTCAAGGGGATCGCGCGTGGTTCGATCATCGAACTTGGTCTTCCTAATGCCTAGGGTAGACCTAGAAACACTTTACACTTTTAATCTGACCAATACGTGTTTCCAAGTTTGTTCGAGACACGTAAGCGTATTTACGACAAAAACCTGTCGCTCCAGAATTTAATTAAGAGATTTAATTAATTATTCATGGATGTACAACGAATCGATCGACAACGGAAACCTATTTTCTTATCCGCGTGTTAGAGGGTGAGCAACGATCGATCGACGAGACGCGTATACATTCGTATAATCGAATCGATGTATGATGTAAATAGACCCAAGTAAATAGGATCCAGATAATTTTCCCTGCCCGACCAATCTTTTTGGATCTCCCTTACTTATGCCCTCATAATTTTTCCCTTTTAGATGTGCAATTTTATTCTTCTTTTCTCCTTAGCGTCGTTCCAATGGCGAAGCGCGATCAGTCTAATAGACTCTTCTTAACGTGAGAAAGCGAGAGACCGCATAAATTCGTATTAGGCGTACGTAAGCTGTAACGGAAGAAATTTTTATAACAGATAGTTTATTTTATAAAGAAATCTATGTTATTATACAAAATATTATAGAAGCGATGAAAAAATATATATATAT